GACATAAGATTTATTCTTCTTTAGCTACCTTTCATTTTATTTAGATTTTTGATTTGTGTATTTTCTTTGTTTTCTTTTGTATGTGGTTATTTTAATGAAATGAAGAAATGTTTCGATCGTAAAAAAAAAACCTCTTCACCAAAGGCAGAGGCATTCAAAGTGAACATTTTTTAAACGTGTGTCTGATGGTGGCAGGTGACTCTGGCCTGCTGCTCCTCAGGTTACCTCGTTCTTCTCCTTCAGCTTGGTGATCATGACGATGACGGGCGCCTCCTCCTGCCACGCCATCTGCCAGAAGTCATTGACCGTGTTCACCATGGGGCCCTGTGTGGCGATGAACTCCTTACTCCTGCCGAGGTAACCCTGAGACAGAAGCACCGAGACCTGGCTCAACACTGATTTCTTGATTTGGAGGATTTAGCCTCTCCACCTGTGCTGAACACTCTGACTGAAGCTCATATGAAGCGAGACAGGGAGGGAGAACAAAGACACTGTGGTCTAACGGCTCCGATTGTTTCAGCAGCTTCCTGACAGGAAGAGGGTCTATTGTGTGAGGGTCTGAGAGCGACTCTGCAGAGCCCTGCAGGAGTTCACTTTCACTGAGAGTCCACGAGGAAACCAGAACAAAAACTGAACAAAACCAGCCGACATTCCAGAGGAGTGATAACAACACGCCGAAGAATGCTTTCTTATTTTTATCTCAGGTGTGGAGAGAATTCAGCTGAAGAAATGTCACGACGGACTGACTCAAGGTCAGAAACGGCTAAAACACATCAGCTGAACATCAGCTAAAACACATCAGCTAAAACACATCAGCCGAATATCAGCTAACACACATCAGCTAAAACACATCAGCTGAATATCAGCTAACACACATCAGCTAAAACACATCAGCTGAATATCAGCTAACACACATCAGCCGAATATCAGCTAAAACACATCAGCCGAATATCAGCTAACACACATCAGCCGAATATCAGCTAAAACACATCAGCTGAATATCAGCTAACACACATCAGCTAAAACACATCAGCTGAATATCAGCTAACACACATCAGCCGAATATCAGCTAACACACATCAGCCGAATATCAGCTAAAACACATCAGCCGAATATCAGCTAAACCACATCAGCCGAATATCAGCTAAAACATCTTTATTTAGACACAATATGAACTGAAAAAAAACATTAAAAAAATAACAAGAGGACAAATCTGACCCGTATGTACCTGGACTTAACGAGCTGGTACTGACCTGTATGTACCTGGACTTAACGAGCTGGTACTGACTTGTATGTAGCTGGACTTAACGAGCTGGTACTGACCCGTATATAGCTGGACTTAACAAGCTGGTACTGACTTGTATGTAGCTGGACTTAACGAGCTGGTACTGACCCGTATATAGCTGGACTTAACAAGCTGGTACTGACCCGTATGTAGCTGGACTAAATGAGCTGGTACTGACCCGTATGTAGCTGGACTTAACGAGCTGGTACTGACCCGTATATAGCTGGACTTAACAAGCTGGTACTGACTTGTATGTAGTTGGACTTAACGAGCTGGTATTGACCCGTATGTAGCTGGACTAAATGAGCTGGTACTGACTTGTATGTAGCTGGACTTAACGAGCTGGTACTGACCCGTATATAGCTGGACTTAACAAGCTGGTACTGACCCGTATGTAGCTGGACTTAACGAGCTGGTACTGACATGTATGTAGCTGGACTTAACGAGCTGGTACTGACATGTATGTAGCTGGACTAAACAAGCTGGTACTGACCCGTATGTAGCTGGACTTAACGAGCTGGTACTGACCCGTATGTAGCTGGACTTAACGAGCTGGTACTGACCCGTATGTAGCTGGACTTAACGAGCTGGTACTGACCCGTATGTAGTTGGCGTTCATGTAGGAGCTCAGCGGGTCGTTGGTGGTCCTGGACTTGAGGATCACTCTGGAATGAGGGTCTGAAACATAAAAGAAACACTTTTGTTTGATGTTTGTAGTTTTGTTCTGTTTTGCAGTTTTACATGCTTCTCTGAAAGGTTCTTAAGTATTTTAAAGGTAAAGTTTCACGTTTAGAATGAAAACAGAACTGGATTCTTCATCATTACTGGGTCCAGTTGCCGTAATGAGACCAGAACCTTTGTTCGGACCATGTTTCAGACTTTATAAACTGACCCGGGTCCTGCAGAATAAAAACAAAGACACTGGAACACAGGAAGGAATTTGATGGATGGCAACTATAGATGAGCATTCCTTTTCTTGATTGGCCGGAAGGAAGGGGTAATTCTGGGCTGATAACCCCGCCCCCCTCCAACAGAACCAGGACAATAACGGAGCGTTACATAAGGCTTGAACCGGGCCGGACTGTGAGAACACACCATGCTCATTGTTGGGGAAGAAAGAAGTGAAACATTTACTGTCCTCTGACACGTCTTCCCTCCAACATAATCAAACAACTTCCTGGTTCAACAGGAAGTGAGCGGTGTTTTGAAGTGCTGCTGTCTCTTAGCAACACCAGGTACTCACTGGGCAGGATGGTTCTGTAGCGGTTCTTGGTGCCGTAGTTGGGGATGTCCAGCTCCTTGGGATCAATAAAATTCATGGGAATTTCCTGAAATGAAGGGAAGACGAGCTTCAGCTAAAATCTTTAAAATCTCTTACCTGTTTTAATGCACCGCTGAGGATTTAAATCAACTTTACTCTGTTGTCTTCATTTGTAAGAAACTGTGTAAACAAACAAACAAACAAACAAACATCTGCTATAATATCAGTCTGTAAACATCCTGAACATGAGACCTGGTCTGGAGGTTTTAGAGGAACTGTGGGGACCAGGTCTGGAGCTTTTAAAGGACCTGAGGGGACCTGGTCTGGAGCTTTTAGAGGACCTGAGGGGACCTGGTCTGGAGCTTTTAGAGGACCAGGTCTGGAGATTTTAGAGGACCTGTGGGGACCAGGTCTGAAGGTTTTAGAGGACCTGATCTGGAGGTTTTAGAGGACCTGGTCTGGAGATTTTAGAAGACCTGTGGGGACCAGGTCTGAAGGTTTTAGAGGACCTGGTCTGAAGGTTTTAGAGGACCTGTGGGGACCAGGTCTGGAGGTTTTAGAGGACCTAGTCTGAAGGTTTTAGAGGACCTGTGGGGACCAGGTCTGGAGGTTTTAGAGGACCTGTGGGGACCAGGTCTGGAGCTTTTAGAGGACCTGGTCTGGAGGTTTTAGAGGACCTGGTCTGGAGCTTTTAGAGGACCTGAGGGGACCTGGTCTGGAGCTTTTAGAGGACCTGGTCTTGAGGTTTTAGAGGACCTGCGGGGACCTGGTCAGGAGCTTTTAGAGGACCTGAGGGGACCAGGTCTGAAGGTTTTAGAGGACCTGGTCTGAAGGTTTTAGAGGACCTGTGGGGACCAGGTCTTAAGGTTTTAGAGGACCTGTGGGGACCAGGTCTGGAGGTTTTAGAGAACCTGGTCTGAAGGTTTTAGAGGACCTGAGGGGACCAGGTCTGGATGTCTCTGAGGACCAGGTCTGGAGGTCTCTGGACCTACAGCGAACTCTGCCTGCAGTCTCTGGGTGTTGTGGACCAGATCTGGAGGTTTTAGAGGACTTGGTCCGGAGGTTTTAGAGGACCAGATCTGGAGGTTTTAGAGGACCTGAGGGGACCAGGTCTGGAGGTTTTAGAGGACCCGATCTGGAGGTTTTAGAGGACCAGATCTGGAGGTTTTAGAGGACCAGGTCTGGAGGTTTTAGAGGACCAGGTCTGGAGGTTTTAGAGGACCAGGTCTGGAGGTTTTACAGGACCTGAGGGGACCATGTCTGGAGGTGTTAGAGGACCAGGTCTGGAGGTTTTAGAGGACCAGGTCTGGAGGTTTTAGACGACCAGGTCTGGAGGTTTTAGACGACCTGGTCTGGAGGTTTTAGAGGACCTGAGGGGACCATGTCTGGAGGTTTTAGAGGACCATGTCTGGAGGTTTTAGACGACCAGGTCTGGAGGTTTTAGAGGACCTGAGGGGACCATGTCTGGAGGTTTTAGAGGACCATGTCTGGAGGTTTTAGAGGACCATGTCTGGAGGTTTTAGAGGACCATGTCTGGAGGTTTTAGACGACCAGGTCTGGAGGTTTTAGAGGACCTGAGGGGACCAGGTCTGGAGGTTTTAGAGGACCTGAGGGGACCATGTCTGGAGGTTTTAGAGGACCATGTCTGGAGGTTTTAGAGGACCAGTTCTGGAGGTTTTAGAGGACCTGAAGGGACCATGTCTGGAGGTTTTAGAGGACC